CCAGAGGGCGATATCAGCATTTCTCAGAGTGTGAGAAAGAGATACAATATTTAAAGATCGTCTGATAATCACTTATGACAGAAAAACTCAATACTGCTTTATGCTTTATTGATAGAGGGCAAAAGACAATTAGCAATTATTTATTAGTTGGTATTCAGAACTGTTTTTACAATCAAACTCCTACTTTATAAATGGTATCTTGCCTCTTTTTTAGATTTTCTTAAAAGAAAACTATCTCGCGTATTACCATGAAACCCCCATTTACGTCACAAAAAGTTTGCTGTGCCTGTCAAACTCTTTTTTTTTTCTCTAACACACTTTTTATCTACGTTATCTAAGATATTATCTGTCTATTATATATCTACTGGCTTGTATAAGAATAAAAAAAAAATTGTAGAAGAAATCATTTTTTTGCAAGCTAGACTTATGACAGAAGAAGAGAAAAAAGGGGAAAGGAAAATTGTTCGTCAGAGTTTAGTTTATCATTATTAACACATATATATTGAAGACTTTGAGAATCTCTCAATCTTCTTTTTAGCCAAGGTTAATATTTATATATCAGTCCTATAATAGAGTTCTAGCAATTAAAAAGAATGCAATTGATTCTCATTCATTCTATTCTCATTCTCATTGTTTTTCTCTACCTATGACTCATTTCACAGATTTTCTTTTGCTTGTAATGCAAAAATGAGTCATAGATAGAGAAAAAACAATGAGAATTAGAGCCGTATCAAATAAGGAATACCTCTATCTCTATCTTTTCACATCTTGGCAAATGTTACCAAACGTCTGTATGTTAGGAAATGTCTACATACACATGTGCTAACATTTGCCAAGATGTGAAAAGATAGAGATATTCCTTATTTGATACGGCTCTGATGAGAATAAAATGAATGAGAATCAATCGTATTCTTTTTAACTGCTAGAGCTCTAATATTTTGTCTTGTTCTTTTATGTTAGAAGGCTGTTTACTGTTGTTAGCGTATTACAGAATAAAGAGAGTATAGACCTATACAGCTGGTACGTTACGTAAATGTTTTAAAAAACAAGCTATAAATCTGGCAAAAGTATAGTACTGTGCTCTGTTGTAGGTCGAAGTTACTTTTATCAGGAGAGAAGTTTCATGCAGAATAAAATCGAAATTATTACTTTTTTTGCGCGTTCTATAAACACGTTGCTTTTACAGATAACAGATTGATAAAAAATATTATAATAAATTGATTGTCAGAAATTTATTCTTCTGTTGTTAGTTTCTCATCAATTATTTTGTTACAGTGGATAGAAGAAAGCTCGTCCGGAAATAAAAGATTGTTCACTAATAACAATTCTAATATTTTACAGTTCTAATTTTTGGCAGTATTTATTACACTCCTTTTCACTAACGTTGAAATGTTTCTTTTTATTATTTAATGATAACACTGAAGCTGTGGTCGCGTAAGTTTTACTAATTATTTGCAAATAATTATTCGCCCTCACCCAAATGTATCACACTATAACGAAATACCACAAACGGTTCGCGGAAGAGTCGTATCACGAAGAAACAGATGCGACATTTCTCGAGGTGTGTACTGATTGCGTCATTGCTGGGCAGTTCTTTTGACATCTTGTTAAAACAATCAAGATAAGTTAAACTTAGAATGACGCCGAGTGAATTGCAAATGATCTTGCAATCAAATTCTACTAATGTCTCAACATTCATTTAAACTTCACTGTAATATAGCAAGAGTTTCAGCTTTACAATTGAAAAATCGTTTGGAAAATTTTCTGCAAACGTTTTATTCCCATCTTTGGTATAGATCAAATGTATTATGAACACCATTCTACGTTACTCCGATGACAAACGCATACTCTGTAGACATCTGTTACAGACAGAACTTACTATCAAACTAAAGTACCACCTGACGTGCTCAGGTTTTATCCTCACCTTATTGGCTCACATTTAAAGCAATAAAAGAGTTGCTTAGTAAAATCTGAAAAAACAACCACTAATTAATTATTTAATTATTATTGAATATATTCGTTTTAAATACTTACGCTAGAATTTACTTTTCCTAATAACGAATCTTCAGGCTAATAAGAAAATCTTGATTTCAACTTGCAAAGTTTTTTCTTGCAAAATGACAGAAAATGTTTCTCGTTTTGCTTCGTGATATATACTCGAAAAGTTATCTGTGAGGCAATAATAGTTTGCACATTTCGATCTGATAAATTATTTTTAATGCTCGTGGTCATACAACTTTTCTATCGTTTATGAGATGCAAGTAATGCAAAGAAGTAGTGAATTTTAGTTTTCGATGTATTATACATATTCTGATTCATCAGGTTGAGCTGATCACGAAAATCACCTTCGTGGCCTCCCAAAACGTTTTCTTCCGGACCAAAATCTCAAAATCCTAAAAAAAAACCCAAAAATGTCAAAATTTTTTGTTTTTGAAAATTTCTGCGCAGTTTTTTCCCAGATGGGTTGAGTGACTTGAACTTATCATTTTTGAATTCCTCGTGGAAAAGTGAGTCTATCCACGTTAGTTTCAATCTGTAAACCTCAATGCAAAACTTCGTATCAATAGATTTGGTTCTATAGAAAACTGAGAATAAGCGTTAATGTGCAACAATGAGAATTTATTCTGCCGAAGGATCTCAAGAAAAGACTTATTTTGCAGCCTCTTAGACCAGAGATCGACTTTTATGTTTTTTAGAACAGATTTTGCAGGCCATCAAGCACTGGGCGATAAACAGGCCATACTAGCATCGTTTTCTAATTGCTCATCTCATGATTGGTCGAAAAGTCTGTCCGCTAACTTTTTGACTATACCCTTTGACTCAAATGGTATCTAACTTTTTTAGAGTGTACATGGTCTTAAGCGCAAACAAGTGATGTGTGCATACCCATAAAAGTCTGTCCACCGTGGTTTTTTTCATTCTCTGACCCGTTATTAGGAGGAAATAACACGAAAGCCGCCAAAAGATCAATCAAAACTTGAGGGCTAAGTTAGGCGCAATCTTTCACTCAACGACGTTTGCGTCTAACTTATCTCAACCACAGTGAACACTGTGGTTCTGATGTTTACAGGAACTTTTCTCTTCGAATACCTGATTCAGCCCTGAAAAATCTGAGACTGATTCTTTCAAAAAATTCAGCTCTGATTTCATCACTAGACTCAGAGCTGAATGAGCTGATCAGTACTTTCAGCTTTGAATCCGAACACATATTTTAATGAGATCTGATTCAGAGCTGAAAAAACTGGAAGGCTGATTCAGCTATTCAGACCTAGCTGATTATCAACTAGTGAATGTAACATCGACAAAACAAAAACACATAACATAATGGGTTCGCCTCTTTCTTCTTGTTCTGTTCTGTTTCATTCCTTTTTTTGCATACCACATCATACTTATCAAATAAAGCTTATAATAACTAACTATTGGTGCAATTGAAATTCATATACGGTTATGAGTTTATTGTATTCATTTCTGATTACAAAACTAATTTTAGTTGTATGCACAAAAAATGAGAACAAAAAAATAATTGATCGACCCTGGCAGGGATCGAACCTGCAATCTCCTGATTCGAAGTCAGACGCCTTATCCGTTAGGCCACAGGGCCACGGTACTCATATCGTAATTTGAGCAGAAAAATGCTATGAATGCAGACAAGATATTGATAGAACTAACTCAAATAGATGTGTAGGTCCCGTTTGAAGTATCGGTGTAGCTAAAATTATTCACTCAGTATTGAACAGCTGAATCGTGTACCGTAAAGCCATCATCTTATGTAAAACAATCTTTTACAGTTTCGCACCTGCATCATAGAAACATTTGTTTGAAATGAAGGAATTTCCTTTTGTTTGACTTCACGTTGTCATATATCATCAGCAGAGTCCCGAACGAAGTGAATCAGAATTGGTGATCCAGTCAAGGCTAGATCGAGAAACTACGATTGATAATGAACTTCATAAAACGTAGAATTACTGTAGTTATTGATGTTTGTTTTAATGCAGAAAGAAAGAAAGAAGTCAATATGAATGAATGAGTGTAGAAATCAATCCAAAGGTACTGTGTGGTTAAGTGGTCTATTTATTTTTGTCATTATAATTTGCAAAATGAACACGATTTTTTAAGCATGCATTTAATATAATACGTAAAAATATAGTAATCAATATCTAAATTATATTAATATTTCCTAATTTAATATAGTAGTATCTATTCCGGTGAAAGAATAGTTTTAAAAAAATTGTTTAATCTATTTTTTTAATTAAACATCTTTTAAATCAATTAAAGTTCTGAATTAAAAAATGTTCTGTCTTTTAATATAATATATTATCACTTTTAACAAATGACTATCAATCAATTTATCGAATTATCTAATTAATTTGAACGTAATCTATAATTGATTAGTACTTATCAATTAATTGAAAGAGTATATATGAGCTAGAAGTGATAAGAAAAAAGCTAGTCTAAAAAATATAAAAAAGTATACCATTAAAAAAATGGCAGAAACATCATCAGATGATGATATTGTACCAACTTACAGGGAAGAAGCAACGGATGACGACGGCCATGCTGGTGATATTATTAACTCAGCTGAGAAGATGAGAGCATCCAGCTTATCATATGAAAAAGTGAAAGTCTTCTCTGATGGCAAATATGAAGGCATCGCAAATTTCACGCTTTTTGATAACTCTTCGCAAGAAATTATATGGTCCAGCTCAAATTAGTTTAAATTATATTAAAAAATTGGTGTATTGAAAAATCTATTATTCCAAATGATCCTGATGAATGTTTTGTTGCTAATTATTATATCAAAGATGATGATGCCGATCCATTATTTAGATTATTTGTTATAACAAAAAATTTAATGAAAAATTGTTTAAATTCAAATCATGTATGTGCACATGCAACTCATAAATTAATATGGCAGGGTTATTCTGTATTGATTGTGGGTACCACTGATAAACAGTGTGCTTTTCATCCATTTGGTATTGCGTTATGTTGAAAAAAGAATTATGTGTTGGTTTCATGTAACGAAAGATATCGATACTCAATTAAATGCTATTAAACATAAAAAAATGAAAGCAGAATTAAGACAAGATATTGAATTTATGCAAGTTATTAAAAATGAAACAATTTTTGATGCAGCAATTAAATTATTCCAAAAAAAGTGGAAATCAAAGAAATGTCCGCTAATTAATAATTTTATTGATTATTTTATAAATGAATGGTATATGTCAAATAAACGATGGTTCGAAGGCTTTGTTATTGGTTATCCGAGTTCTAATAATGCATGAGAAGCAACAAATAGTAAAATAAAATCTTTATATACATTTCGAGAGCGCTTACCTATTGGTGAATTTTTATCAGTTCTCGAAAAATATATTATTCATCAATTACAAGAGAACGCAATGTTGAGGATACAATTACATCACAAAATACAAAAGCTTTCGCAAATGCTCTATCTATAAATTTGTCACTTTGGACATCAACGTATCACTGGATCAAAGGAGAACCAGAAGTTATAACAATGAAAAATAATGATGGAAAAAAATGCATTTTATTGAATCATCTTCATGTCAAGATAATTATGAAGATTTTAATAAAGAATTTATGCAAAAGCTATTATATAATCAACAAAACGTTAATTGGTGCGACTTTGATATTATGAAAAATGAACAATTATCATTTTAGGAATGTGAATTTTTAAATGAAATTGAAAATTGGACAAAAAGTATATGTTCTTGTCCAGTTTGTTTAAAGTATTATATTTTTAAACACATTATAGGCTATATTTCATTGGGACAAAAAAGAAGAAGAGGGCGTGTTGCTAAAGCTAAAAAAGCATTCATTGTGCAATAGTTTTCCTTTTTTTTGCTGTGGTTTTTTGTTATAATTGATAATTATATCTTTATTTTTGTCTGTTACTTTAATTATTAATTAGATATCAGAGACCGAAACGGGTCGGCTCGGATCCGATTGTCTCGGGTCGAGTTCGGATCAAAGCAGAAAGAATTTCGGGTTTTATTCGGGTCTTGTCACTAGAACACAAATCAGGAGAGTTTCGTCGGTTACAATTCACTCTTTCATTTTCAAACATATGTCTTTTTTATCAAAAAGAGAAGTACAGTGCTTTTTCCTTCCTGCTATGACGCTGTGTAATGTACAGTCTCGTACTGTTAAAACAAAGAAAGAAAAGAAAGATATATAGAAAAACATGTTTAGTAATTCTTGTTCGTATACAGCAGTGTTTTTTTCGCAATCGGTTCTCTCGTTTAATCTTCAGGTTAATTAAAGCGTGGGTGATTTTTGTATGTTGCTGTTTTAGCTACGCTCTTGAAATCAAAATCTACACAATATATTGTTGTTAATAATCCATTAAATTTTCGGGTCATTTGAGTCCAGTTTTGAAAATTTCGGGTCGGGTCGGGTTAATATAAAAAATATTGATTCGGGTTGGATCAGGTTCGGGTAAAAAATCTTCGGGTTGCGTCGGGTTCGGGTCATCCACGTAAGACCCGATTTGGCCTCGGTTAGATATAACTTTGTGTTGCTAGATAGTATTACTTAATAAATTAGATATAAATTTATTTTAAAATTAGATGTAGATTGCTATATTTTTAGGTATTAGTTTATATTTACCCCTAAATTAAAAAGTACATTAGCAATTATTAAAAGTTGATGGTTGTCGTCGAAATGCAATTAGCACAAAGTTTAATATTGAAAGGTTTTGTATGTTAAAAAGAAATATGTAATCGAGTTTCAATTGAAAAAAAAATCATAATACTTCGTTCGTGGATTTCAATTATTAATTTAAATCAAATTAAAAAAAGATACTTTTTTAAGAGTTTTCGTGCTTTGTTATGTGTGGAGTCTCTTCTTTGTATATAAGATCAATATATGTAGTCTTATTCTCTAACAAGTATATCAGCTATATTAAGATATATTTCTATCCTTGTTTTATTCATTTTGGATGGATAAACGCTATTCTATATCAAATATAAAAAGAAAATTTGTTTCAAATCTATTTAGAATATTATATTAAATATTTCTATGATTGAAATGTGTATCAACTGCATCATTCATTACTTATAATATTTCTATGAGCAAAAATATAAATTGAAATAAATATAGTTCATTTCATAATAATTCATTCAAAAGAATCTTGTATTATCACATGTTGAACGAACAAATAATTTGAAAGATCTTCATTAATTTTTGAAATTTTATCTGCAATTAATCGATCTGTATTGTAAATCGATATCGATAGAAACCATTGGATTTCATTATTCTATCGTCGCTTGAAAATGTATGATTTTTAGATAAAGAAACAATTCAACGAAACTAATAGTGGTTATTGATCGTATGAGGTTCGCTGACAGATAACTAGAAAATAATAAGTCAAACAAACAAATCTATTTATACTGTTAAATAAGTTAGTTAAAAGTAAAAGATTTAAAAAGTATTTCTTCTAAAAATAGATATTTTAACCTAGTCAGAGTAGTAGTGTGTGAAATAAGCAAAAATACTAACTTATTCTCATGTTAAAGATGGAATAACTTAAACTTTGTCTCGTAATAAATGAAAGCCTTGTTTAATAAAATACAAAAACAACATTTCGAGTCGAAATAGATTCGGCTGGAGTTTTTCTACAGACGCGTTGAAGAAAAAGCTTTTTTGCAAGTTACTTATAAGCATAAGGACATGACTAATCCGAAAATATCTCTGCTCAAGTCGTTTCCGTTATCTAGATAGGAGACATTATCTGTAAAATAACTACCTTTTCTGCCGGCTACTTATAATCATACCTTTTTGAATAAAATAACCATATGTAGCTCGAGTACAGTATAGAGACATGATGCTAGGTGTCAGCTTAGTTTCATTGGTAGAAATCGTGAAAAAATGAGAAGTCCGACATAGTTAAAATGGAAAAAGTCCAAAATTTGGAAAATTTGTGCGCTCTTTCTACCAATGGAAGACGTTTTTATGAAATTACAACGGCCAGAGAATTTAAGTACAAATACTAAGTGATCAATTTCACCAAAAAATCTTGCCTTCAGAGCAATAAATAAGAGTCAGTTTTTAGGAAATAATGTCTCTTATCTTGAAAAGACCTGAGCAGAGATATTTTCGAATTAGTCATGCCCTTATGCTTATAAGTAACTTGTAAAAAGATTTTTCTGCAACTTATCTGCAAAAAAACTCCAGCCAAATCTATTTTGACTCCATATAAGTAACTACTTCAGTGATAATAGTCTGTACTTCAAAAGATGAATGGATAGATTTATGACAGTCATAGTATCCGCGCTTATATCATGACAGATTTATCCGACTATATATTTTGATATTGATCATTTTAGTATTAAATATTTTTAATGTTCAAATAAAATAATACAAGGTATTTTCAATCATAAATTGTGAAATACATGATAGACTATGAATTCAGATTCAGGAAAGAATGTTAATATTCTTGAAAATTGACAATACATTGTCTTTTTATAAGGATGAATTGAGGAAAATGTATCTACGATTAACTCAAACAATTTTGAATAAAATCAGAATATATACAGGATATTCCAAAAGTCCGTCGGGAAAGTAAACGTAAATATCTCTTACATAATTCAATCCATTTCTATATTTCTTTTATAATATGATAGTATGCTCTTTGAAGTTCAATTCTACGCATTTTTAGATAAATGTCTATGCCTACAGACATTAAAATACAAATGGTTTCTTAACAGGTCAAATTTGAGTCACATATAGTTGTGAAATGTAAAATGTAAGTCGAGTTTGGTATAAAAACATTAGACTTACGAGGGAACCCCACGAAGTGATTAAACGCTTTTTGCTCGGAATCTAGTGGGTTATAGGTTATCGACCATGCTGATTACGAATACGACCATGCGGCTTCCGCATAGTCCTTCGAAGACCTGGTTTTC